TTAGACAATAGATTTAGCTGTCACTTTGCCGCAACGCGTCCGATCCGGATCTAATGTGCGTGGGCCTTAAAAGAGAAGATCCATAAATTACATAATATTTTAGGGGTTGTTTACGTTTGATGAAGCATCAACTTTGATTCCTCTCCCCGAGCAAAGTACAGCATCAAAATGACAGCAAATTGAAATCATGTTTTGATATCAACATCAAACTGAAATCATAGTTTGATTTCAATTTACGCAATTGACAAATTATATACCCAATTTTGTTTTCATTTTGCTGTACATTTGCTCTTCAGAACTATGTTGTTGCGGGTTTGTTTTCATTGCCTTAGCATAGCATCCAATAGGAGTAGGCTGTGCGTGTGATCGAACCTGACGTTTGTTTTTTTCCGTAGAGTTTTTTTTATCTATAATCGGTTGCTGATCTGGCCAAAACCAAGCCCAGGAGACAATTTCTAGTTGCTCAATTCCTATTATTTGCCGCTGAGAAGCTGTTCCGAAGCCAAGTAGAACCTCCACGAGGCGTCCCATCATTCGTTGAGTTGCAGCGTTGAACCTGACTATTGGCCACGATCAAAAATCAACTACATACATCATTTGTTTATCGACGGAAGACATTCCGCGCAACTACCATAAACCGGACTAGCTCATGTTGATCTTCGACAAGCTTCGTCTACAATTTGGACTTCTACATCAACACATGTCAGGCAGCCTTCAGGTTCAACTGGCTAAACTTGGTGAGTTCGTTGTGGTGCGTTACTGGTATAAGATCTACCACCGAACCCTAAGTCTCCTTAATAAAGATATAAAAAAAAACTTCAAACTAGGGAATCAGGGTTTTCCAGTAATCAAAGGATTACATTTTAGTCCTTGTTACTTTTTATGACTTGATAATAGTAACAAGACTCGGGTAGTGACCACCGCCGTTAGGTATTTCTATATTGTATATTTCAAATCAAAAATATTGTTTATGTTCATAGAGTTTACATAATTCTTTCCCATTGTCCTTTTTGTTCCCTTTGTCCTTCTCCTTTTCCTTTCCCTCTTCTCTTTTCAGAAAGCGAGTAATGGCGCTATAGCCATAAGCCATAAAAGGCTAGGACAAGAGTTAGTGCTCATGTCCCAACCGTCAGAAGAAAATGGAACATCACTTAACTTTTCTAGCTTTGCTGCTTCCAACAACCAATATAATTATCAAAATCGGAGCGTACGGTACGAGATGTCCACGTTTCATCCATTTATTGGATTTTGAAGTATCGTGTTTAAATCTTCGATTTAAACAGGCCCGGTGTTTTCTGAATCATCTTGCTCCTTAAATGCTGCACAGTAGGCCTGACCGTTTTGATAAGTGTGACGCATCTTTGATGTGAAACATATATCAAATAGACAAGAAAAAATATGGAGGTATATCCATCATTTTCCAGGATGCTTTTAAGAACTGGCTGTGTTGGTGTTAGATCAGATTAGATTAGATTAGATTGCCTTAGCATAACATCAAATTGAATACTTGTTTTGCTATCAACAGGAAAAATAGATATCAAATAAAGTTTTTAGTTTGCTTTCACTGATAGCAGAAATAGTTTTCAATGTGATGAAGATTTGTTTGCTCTCAATTGTGATATTTTAACCGTTCAAACGACCAAAACGACAGCAACCTGAGTAATCATTATCAGCGAAATCACAACATCAAATTTAGATTTCAATTTGATCTCAGACTTTGCTCGGGTCCTCCTTGTAGCGTATTTTTCCACATGACTGGACACCAGTGATGGATACATTCCAATTTTATTGGACGCATCCAGTCAAATAGTTAAAGTTTGAAATCTTCCATATTTTTAGAATTCATCAAGTTGTAACCAGTTTTTAATTATTAAAAATATCATGAAGTTCGCTTAACGGCAACGGGACAGGCGTGCTGTGTCACACCATTGATAATCATTTCGCAGGTTTGTTATTATGACATTTAACATAATGTTATGTAAACTTTAATCTAACTGACACCGTCTCAAATCTTGCCGTCAATATCAATGATGTATCTTTGTTGTTTTTCTACAAATATTATTATGCCTTCCTCATTTTCTTGTTGTGAATTTATTTATTTGATTAAATTGAAGTAAGATTATTGCTGGTTCTCATTCTCATTTTGCTAAATAAAATTCCCTGACATCAGGTTTTTCCAGAACATTTACGTACAACTTTCATGTTTATAAGAAAGCTGTTTACTAATTACGTTAAAACATATGATATTTTTGGTAAAACAACAACTTTATTTCCACAAACGTTAATCTGTTTTAAGAGAACAGTTTTACAATCCAAACCATTATAAGTTGATGTTTAACATTTACTTAATTTTACTAAGTCTTTGATCTTATTTCGAACTCCAAGTCCATGATCTTGCAAATTTTCAATGTGTCAGATTACCAGAATTTAAAGAAAAGCAGTTCCAGGCAGAATAGGATAAAAAAAACTTGACTCAGCCTTCTCTGATTAGCGTGAAACTTTGTATAATTTTGTATAATAGGCACACATTTTTGCAAAAATTCGGCTATTTCGGATAGTGTATTTTTTTTCAAAATGACGTCTGACATTTTTCAATAAATTGTAGCACGAAAACGTTACTTCTGATCGAAATGATGTCTGATACAAAGCTGTTCGGAAATGTATAGTCTTTCTGATGAATATATACACGGTAATTTTTTTTAGAGTAATGTTGAGTAAAAATTCAAAAATGTGTAGAAAACAGATAAAAAGAAAAAATATACATATCTTCAATATTTTTAATTATTCATTTTAAAAGCTCATGAAAAGTAAAAACTTTTGAAGTATTTAAAACTGGGGGCTCCCTTAGCTCAGTCGGTAAAGGCGCAGCTACTAAGCAAGACCATGCTGGAGGTGGCTGGGTTCGATTCCCGGTCAGATCTAGGAATTTTGCGGGTTGGAAAATTTATCGACTTACCTGTGCGTGCATGATTGTACTTGCCAAACAATTATACTAATGCAAAAATGGCACAGGCATCGAAAACTCTCATTTAATAACTGTGGAAGTGCATCTATAATAACTAGCATCATGATTCTAGATGAGATATTCATTCTTGAATTTATATGGGCTTTTTTATCGTATTTTGCAACAAAATTCAGGCAGCTAATGCAACGTATCAACTAGATTACCATTACAAAAATCCAAGTTCATATTTTCCACAAGCTAACATTCAGATTCGTGACAGTAGGTGAGATAACCACTCTCGTTTTGTTTCAGCTGTTTTTGACATAACACAGACTGGCGCTATTGTTTTAATGTTTATATAGAGGATTTGGTTGAAATTTTCATACATAAGATGCTCGTATACATTCAAAGGCGAAAATCTTAATAAAACTAACCGGATTCATAATGCAGTCTTCAGCAAAGTTGTTATTCATTGTTTGAACTTATTTTTTTAATTTGAATCAAATAGAGAATAAGGAAACTTTTTTACGATCGATAGAGTGTAGGAGTGTAATTTTTTTCTTGTATTTTATCCAAAATCCCTATACAAAATTCAAACTAAAAGTGCCAGCTCATCCTAAAACCAAATAAGCTAAAAATTTCAGAGAATGGTTTTCTCACCTAGAGGCACAAATCTAGGGTTGGCCCGTGAAAAATTATAACTTTTATTTTTGTAGGCCAGTCTAGTATGCTAGTCGCAGAATTAGGGTTTTTTAAACTAAAAAATTAACGACCTTTGATTAACACGCAAGAAGAGTGTCTTTTTATTCATCCGCTTAGTATTATCATATTTACAGTAGAGGAAGCACACTCATACATCGTCTCTACAAAAGAGAAGAGAAAAGCTCTTTGATGTGTAGCGACACAACCGTTAGCTCAACGAAGCGTATAACCTCAAATCGGCCGATTTCATCGATCCTTGCCAAGCCAAGGACCATGAAGCGAAGACTAGTTCTACCGGTTGTCGTTATTTCAGTGTTTCCCTTGTGCCATAGCTGCTTTATACCGTTTTTCCACAAAATTTGATCTCTGTTTTATCGCTAGGAGGCTGTTTTCTTTTATGCTAGACCTATGTGACTCACCCGTTTGCCTGCTGAACGTGAACAAGTTTTCAGTACACCACTACGATGAGGGATCAGCCACCGTGGTATCGGAAGGGTAGCGGAAATAAGGAACAATTTGAGGCCAGGGCCATCGCCACAGCCTGAGGACCGTAAAATTGGCGACGCTCCAACGAAATGATCGTAATCGTGTTATTGTAATTGATTTTCTAACGAACTTTGTTTTCCAATCTATCTTGGGTGCCGGTGTCTCGATTGAATAATGGGCAACACGCGTCATTTTATGAATCTGTGCTTGCAGTTTTCAGTTTCGGTGTGATGTAATTTTGATGAATTGACTTTATATTGTGGAATTTGAATATGATACCTATTTTTCTTAAATCATTGCAATATTTTACACACTACGAAAAGACATGTAAATTTCAGTGCCCTGAGACCGACACATACAAGTGGCCCTTTTGACATAAGAATCAGTTGAAAAGGACGAGAAAATCAATTCAATCAAACGCACTTTTTGTCTAGTTGCATACACGGTAAGAAAAAAGTACCCAACGACCAGTTTACTTTTACCTACTTTTGACTAGTTTGTCTCCTTTTCTCCTTCTTATGTTGTCAAAAACGGAGGAGCAAAACCACCCAACAGTATAATGAGTATATAGTATGATGAGTATAATCATATTTACCTACTGTTGGGTACAACTAACTTACTAGCCAGTGGAAAATTCCATACGAACTGCACCCAAGCAAATGAAAATTACTTTGACGCGCTTTACCTACTTTTGGGTTCCTGCACTATAGTGCCGAGATGAGTGAAAAGACCTTAATTTTGGGTACTTTTTCTAACCGTGTATGTTTCAGTTTCAGGACACTAAATTTTACATGCCATGTTTCCATGATTTACGTCAAAGCTGAATTACGTCTCGTGTAAAAATAATAATTTCTAAGTGTGTACTTACCGACAAAAACGGCTGTCGAATTATGAACCGGATCGTAGGGGCACACGGCTTGACCTGGCTTCTCCGATTCGATTGAGTAGCTGTTTCCGTTGATGCCAAACGTCCGGCACATCGGTCGGAATGCATTGGTGCCACAGCTGAGTAGCGTTCCGGGTGTGGGTAGTGCCAAAATGCGAATATAATTCTGACAAAGTTCCTGAAAGACAAAAAAAAAGGTGAAACTTGTGAGGTACAGTGAAAACTCAGGTGATTAAAAATAAATAATGCTGAACATTGAATTTTTTCTCTTGCTGGTAGAATTTTATCCTATCCCCTTATGGGATTAAAGGTAACAATTTTTCCACTTTGCAAAAGGGTTTTCAAGCTATGTATATCTGGATACCCTGGTGACGAGTTGTTTTGTCAGTTTATATTATGCACAATTTAAATTCATTTTATTTTATCTTGAAAAATGGCATCGCTTTCTCGCGGAAGGAGAAATATGGAATAAATCGCTGAGAAAACTTCCTTCATTAAATGTGAAAAACGTGACATTGGTTAACCATTTAAATGGTGATGCAGGACGAATTTTATGGTGGTTATTCCAACATGCCGATCTAACTCAAAATTGAATAGGACTTCACTCAAAATTGTTAAAAGTGGGAATACTAGGTATATTCCAAAATTATTAACTGGAGACATTTTCAGTGGTAAGTATACTATTCATCTATTTGTAAACATTGTTATGCGGTGACATAAAATCTTTGAGGTCGCTTGATGTGACAGCATAAATGTTTTCAACTAAATCAATAGTTTTTAAACTTCAATTTCACTTTAATTCAAAAGCACAATGGTTTGTTCTATCGTGGCTACCTTATGGAAATCCTGCCCAGATGAGTAAAATAACAAACAAGTATTATTTTGCCCAGTGCTGAGATTTGTCATTGTCATTGACAGACATTCGCGCGATATTAACAAAATTGTTCATCACATAGTCACTGACAGACTTGATTCTCAAAAAAACCTTCGTCAAAATCTCATTCATTTTTTCGTCTGGTAACAAGAAGTGTAATTGAACATTCTGTGTCACATTAATGTTATCCAAACAGTTCCGGACGTAGATGCTTGTTCACATAAACGGCTCCATGTAATTGTGTTGCTCAAATCATTTAATTTCGTTAAAAATTGAGTGAACATAAAATTCTACACATGTTCGTCGATGACAGCATTGTCATTGATAATTGACATGGTTTGCCTTGACTGTGACTGTTAGCTCAAATGAGTGACCAAAGCAGAATTGTCAATATCACCGTGTAGTGTTGAGATTTTGCAGCACTGATTGTGCCATCGTCATTGATTTTTCACTACAAAACCTCAAAACTACCTACTACCATCTGGTCATATCTCAAAAACTATTTGTCCAAATCATTTGCCCTTGGAAACATATCAAGTAGAAGATTTGAAGTGTGGTGAAAATTTGAGCCTAGAATATTAAGAAATAAAAAATCTCGCCCATGGTGAAAATATGGAATTTTTTACAATTTGGATAACCGGTAGTCAGACCGAACTGTAGTTACTATAACAAAAACAAAATGTGGGTAAACCTACAACAATCTACATTTAAAAACCTTTAAATTTACGTTCTAAGATCAAGGAGTAATTTCTTCTGAAAGATGAAAATTTTAAAAATCTCAAAAATCAGAAGGATCTAGGCATTTCAGAGCCAAATCAAAAAAGGCATTTGTTGACAATGCCAAAATAAACGTTTTGGCCAAGTTTGGTTCAAATCGGTGACATCGACCACAGGTGGTGTACCCATTTGAGCTAAAATGACCCATATACTTAGTGTACAAAATTCGACCTCTGTATTAAATTCTATCAAATAGGGTAGATAACTACTTCGACCTAATCGCCCAGTTTGGGCCTATCGAGCAGAAAAGAACATATAAGCCCACGATTTCGGCGTTAACAAAACAAATCAAAAGCTACCGAACGAAGTCAATAAGAACGTTTGATATGAATGTTTGCACCCATTATTCCCAAAAACAAAAGAAGTGCTTCGACCGAATCAATTTTTATCTTCATCCGACAGACCGAAGTAAGTTCAATGGCGCTTCAATGGCGTTTCAATGCATTAGGCCGAATTTAGAATTCGTATGCCGAGTTTGTGGTCAAGAAGTAGTGTTAGATTTTTAACAATATCTTAATAATTTGTTTCTGTTTATCAAATCTTGCGGTACTTATAGAAAGGTAATTAAATTTAGAAGGCATTTTCAGTAGAAACATTATTTTTGTGAAAAAATCTGCTTGAAAAATAGAGGCCCAAAATTAGATCTAAGCCCAACTGTTGCGTCCACGGCATGGCGAAGGGTCGCTGCTCACTTATTTAATTTATCGCATATTACAACTGGGTATACCTATGGACGCAACGCAACAACAACGACGATGTTATCCTCCTTCTCATTCTGTAGGAAGAGCCATTGAGATATGCTTGATGATACGGCTATTCATGTCTACTTTTAACGTTTCAAGGAGTATGTACGTCTACGAAGGGCAACTTTCATTCATCAAAACCGGCCTACGAGCAGTTGAAAAGGCTCTTCTGAAACTGTTTGGCCTTCATGCTTGCGTTATTATTATTGTTATTATACTGTAACATCGTTATGATTATCTATAGACAAATGTCCAATCTATTGGATCTGAAAGATGCGAATATGTGTGTGGCCATGGAGCCAAGAAGAAGCGCATGAGTCCTCTCTCTCTCTTGGTTCGTTCGCTATCTGATAAGATGGCAACAGAGTTTTGATGAGGGGGGAGGTATGATGGGTATGTGAAGAGCTTCAAGACCACATCTCGTGTTTCATCTCTATATATTAAGCAAAAGTAATCTAATATGCATCTCACAGAATTCTGTCTGCTTTTCCTACATAACGGCACACCCTTCTCGGACAAGTGGGCTGCTGCATCAAAACCGGAGTATCAATATTCTACGACCACATTGAATTGATTGTACAATAATCAAATTCAGTCGAGTACGTCCGGACGTGTAGGAATTTAATATGTTGCTTTGCACTTCAGCAGGCTCATATTTCACATAATGGTACGTTTCGGGTCAAGCCGATTAGACCTTCGGGGGGTGATTAGAATTTTTATCCATCATGGGAGACTTTGATTGCAAATCCAATTAGCAGACCCTTTTTGCACATGCACCGATTTTTAATATAACTGAGATGAGCATCCCAACCAGAAGGAAATAACAATATTATTGAACCTTGTTTTATTTAGTACCACCGATTTATGCAACAACTGTTGTTACAATTTAGATTCCGCATGTATTACTATAACTTTATTGCTTTTTTCTACACCGTGTTATTCACTCGGGTACCCTGTCGAGCACATAACGGTAAAAATAATGAGAATTCTAACATAAAATCTTCTACCTATGACGACAAAATTAAAACAAACTTTAGTTAGAAAAATATCATGTTTCAAATAATGCTTGCTACAAAATTACACATTAGGGTAAAAACTAAATAGGGTATAAACTGGTCTTTTAAATAAAATTTTCGGGTAAAATATTGTTTTGACTGTTTTCCTATTTTTAGATCGTCATAATAATAATAAAAAAGTAGCTCTTGAAGAAGCTTTTATTAACAGATTTAAACATTAAGAGTGTCCGAAGAACGATCGTATCATTAACGAAGGACTACGAGATTGTTGTTGGTGTTCAATTCAATAATAATTACTAAATTATGAACTTATAATAGTAATTATAAAATCAACATAGGTTCCATTCAATATTCATAGTTTTGAAATTAGGCGACATTCACTATAGTTAATTGATGATACAATTATCAAAATTCAAAACTCAGTTCTAACCCTTTCAAAATAAGGTTCCAAGCATGTGCTGTTGGGGCACCGATTATCTTCTTCCGCCTTCGGCAGCGTCTGGATCCTCATCACTCGAAGGGTATGGGTTGGATTGGGTTCCAAACTGGGCACAGCCAAACTCGGCCTCCTTTTCTGAGGTTTCTTGTCCACAATCAGGAATGTTGAAAAACACTACATTTATTTATACATCCGAAACATACAGGAAAACACTAAATATATTTAACTTGTACTTATTCTAACATTTATTCTTAAAACTAATTCAAATCAAACGAGTTAAAATCCGATCACACTCGGTGGTTGAATTGTTTTGACGACAATAACCCAGACAGGTCATCATCCTTCCGTGATCGCTCTCTTGCGATTTGTTTGGGTCCTGGATGAGAGTACACTGGACTCGCTTTTTACGTGGTTTTTTAAATGGATTTTGGAGTTTACGCGGGTTTTTTTACGTGGATTTCATAATTTACCTAGAATTTCAGCGAATCTCATTCCGCTTTATTCAGTTTGAGTCATAGGTAATTAAATCACATACTTGGAAAGTCGATTTTTTTTATATAAATGCAGGTGTTTTAGAGAGTTGAACTTAGTAATTTAGAGGATCACAAAAATAATCGGTGTAAACAAATTTTTATTCAAATTTCGAGTGCTGTAACTTCGTCAAATATAGATCGATTGTTATAGGGTATTATTGCTTCAAATTGATTGATCTACAACTTTTTAAAACACTGCATTGGTCTATCTCAAGTAATAAAAAAGTTTGTATATTTAATTCTCCAATTTTATGGATCACCCTGATTTCATTAGCATACAAATATCGACCTTGTTTAGAACTTTTAATGGCGCATGTTTTTGCTGTAGACTTTGTATTTCTATCTTTTATGGCTCATGAGCTATGATTTTTTTTATCAAGCAGGTTAGGTTGGCTCCTAGAAAATCGGCTTTGTTTAAATATCTGTTCGTAAGTTCATTTTTCGTAAAAACTTCGTTCTAGACACTCTTTTTAGGACGCATATTTTTGCATAAGCAACTAACTTGCTTCCTCTTTCATTTGCAAAGTTAGGCCTAGTTTTTGCTGAAATATATATGCATTTTTAAAAATTAAATTAAATGCTTTGAACAAAAAACGCTCTCGCAGTTTTTTCACCAAAAATGAAAAAAAAAAACGATCTTTCAAATGAAATTAAAAGTTAGAAAATCGTTTTGCTTGATTTAAAGATATTGATAATTATCTAGCAGTAATGTAAGCAATTTTTTTCGAAGAAATTCTCTTTTAACTGTCTAATAAAAAAATATTAACCTGGTTGCTGGAGCAAAAGTATTCGTCACCAATAGTTCTAAATGTGTCCAAAACAACGTTTTTACGATAAATGAACGTATGAAAAGATATTCTAAGAAAACTGTTTTTTAGGGGCCACCCTGACCTGCTTGCTAATTACGTCAACACTCCTGATGAACCGAATTGTAAGTAGTGAGTGGAATTACAAACCATGTGGCATAACCCAAGTTTACGGAATCTCATTTTCGCTGACAGATGCAAAAGTCATAATGATAAATCTTTTAACAGTTCAAAGCATATCCTAAGATTATGTAGTTGGAACCAGTAGGGTTGCCCATTATTCAAGTGATAAGTCAATTAAAAACTTTTAGTTTCGTTTAGTATGACAAAATCGAGCACTTAGTTGTTTTACTCGAATTAAGTATAAAATCAAACGATTTTCTTGATAGATTTCAGTTAAGGCATGGTATTACCAACAACCATGCCTTAACTGACAATCTATCAAGAAAAACGTTTGATTTTATACTTAATTCGAGTAAAACAACTAAGTGCTCGATTTTGTCATACTATAGTGCTATATTTGAGCGGCAACGATAATGAAACGTTGTTGTTGGTTGCAGCAAATACTTAAATACTTTACAATTGCCACCCACTAGCAAGGCATGGCTTGCATATATGTCTAAGCGTTGAAAGCATCAGCTTTGTGCTAATCGTAATGAGCACTTTACGTGATGAAACAACATTTCACCATAGGTAAACCCATGGTAAACCCTTGGCAGGATCAGACCAGACTGATACCGGGAATGAATACTACTAGGCACATGAATCGCCACCGGTAAACAAGCAGAAGCTCTTGACAACGTCGTTACAGTAATCCTACATATTTATCAACCATATTTGCATAATGGATACCTACATTTAGTATGGCGGTGAAGATTATGCTTGACGGCCGAGGAAGGGTGGGATAACCGGGACAATGGTTTAAAAGGTCAGCGTTTGAGGATAATTAGGGTGTGTGATGGTTATAGGCGCCAACTTCTTGACAGCTTGACGCGCAAAAGTTTTGCAAACTATTATGGGAATGTCGAATTTTCTGGTTATGTGCCATTTTATGAATTTGATTGTCCTTTTGGTAAGCTTACCTCGTCTTTTCCTTTCATCACACACATTTTGATGTCATCCTCCGATGTGTACCACACTAATCGCGTCTGCTCGCTGAGATCGTATATGCTGAGATTGTACACGATGTTTCTGCAATAGAAAAGCAAGAGGAAAATGAGTTTAGAAATCATTGGAAAAACTTAATGGTTCATCGTGTAAATGGGAACATTTAGAGATTCAGGAATGACAATCCAGGCTGCATCCGTAATTGGAGTGGTAACAGAATAGTCCACACGTTTTCTCTCTTTATTGCCGTGTCATCTGCTATGACGAAACAAAGAACACACTCACATGTTTCCGGTGCCAATAAGAGGCAACCGTATATGGAGCATCACGGTGGCACCAACCAACCACCTCTCAAGTAAAAATATCACTCGTGAAGAGATAATAAACAGTACATTGAACACGCATAACTGCTAACATGTGTGCAACATATTTATTGTCCATTGATTTATTGCTCGAGTGTCACACGTTTCAGTATGTGCTACTGGATGGAGATGGGGATAATGGGATATAGGTAAGGCTAAAATTGTGTCACAAAAATGTTAGTCAGTAGTATTAAATATGTTGTGATATAAGAATGATTCGTATAATCTTATAATTTTTATGTGACCAGCTCCAGGACCAATAGGATAAAAAATGATTTGACCTTCTCCGATTTGCATGAAACTTTGCAATCATTCACAGTTTTGCAAAAATTCGGCCATTTTGTATCTTGTGATTTTTTTGAAAAAAGAAATAGCATGGCGTCTTTAACATTTTTCAATAAATCGCAGCACTAAAACGTCACGTCTGAGACAAAGTTGTTTAGAAATGTAAAGTTATTCTGGGAAAAAATACACCGTATTTTGTTTTAAATAATGTTGAGTAAAAATTAAAAACTAAAATATCTCAAAAAGTATATCTTTAATATTTACATATTTTTTTTTAAATCTCATGATAAATGCAATCTTTAGGAGTATTTAAAACCAAGGACACTCGAAATTGACTACAATCGTAGAACATCAATAGTGCAAAGTTTTATGCCAATCGGACAAGGTCAAATTTTTCCGAATCGGTATATTGGCGTGAACTGCCCATGTTACTTTAATTTCAAACAAACTTTGTTTCATCAAATGCACTGCGCCTAGACAATTATCTCAAGAAAGGTTTAATACTAAAATATTCATACTGTAAAAACTTGCTTGTGCGCTACAGTCCATTGTAAGAACAACTATTACATTTGTTCAATTCTAAAAAATAAAGCAAGCATCCAGAAAGTAATAACTGAATCATAAAATCATTATATCAACTTCGGTTATAAATAACAAATCTTAATATAATTTACATAACGTTCTATGGGAACATGATATCTTTCTTATGTTGATACTATGCTAAAATAATACAGCATCGTCATGGCATTGTGTCTGACTTGCGGTTAATGAGAAATGACGTTAAATGTAATCGCAAGTCAGTCGATTTCTATCAGCGCCGGTGGTGTAGTGGTAAGCCTCTCACCCCAAAAGGCCTGGGTTCATTCTCAGTCGGCGCCGCCGGGATTTTCAGAGGCATAAAATCTCTGATTACGCTTTCCTTCGGAAGAGAAGTAAAGCCGTTGGTCCCCGGTTCATGAGTTGATGGGTCGATAGGTAGGGTCTAGGTGTGGAAGTTGCCTCCCTGGCGTCGGCAGCATTGGTACTCAGTACGGAAAACAAGATCGACGCAAAGCAAATCAAAGAAAAAAAGTCAGTCGCACTCAGATATTGCCAATGACACGATATTTTATCTAATATTTTTTACTAAACATAGATGGATTCTATCACGTTTATTTAAAAAAATATCCCTCAAAAATAAAAGTAAAATGAGAAACCCCGTAAAACTTTTGAGCGCCTTTTTCTCATTTCCATTTTTTTACAGATGGGACCGACTTGCGGTAATGGACAGTTTAAGAAAAAAAGGAGGCTATGTATAACATTCTTTGGCAAACACGAGACGAAGGGAGAAGCGAGGGTTGATAAGGTGTAATCTCATTCAAAGTTATTTAATTAATATCTTCTATTACAGTGGCACTGATGGTGTAGTGGTAAGTGTGACTGCCTCTCACTCCAAAATACCTGGGTTCAATCCCAGTCGGCGCCGTCGGGATTTTCAGAGGCATACAATCTGTGATCACGCCTTCCTTCGGAAGGGAAGTAAAGCCCGTTGATCCCCGGTTCATGAGTTGATGGGTCAATGCAGAGTTGCGACCTATCACAATCACGATCGTCAAACAGCTGATGGTAGTAACGCTTTGTACATTCCTACCAATGTGCTCGTCGAAGCTCTCTTCATGACCATCCATCAAGTTGACGAAAGAAGTTAAAAGCAACTGGTGAATGTCGTCTTCGGTTGTGATCCATCACCGATCTGGTCATTCCCGACAATCACGACACTCATCTGTGCTCGTTTTGAAGCAGTTCCTGCTTTGATTGCTTATGTGAGTGTGTTGGTGAGTGAGCCCAACAGCTTCTGTTTAATGTTGTCTGCTTTGTTTGTAACTCACACAGTCGCGCCTGCCGAAACGAACTTGGAATGCGTAGGCATTGTTTTCATTTTCTTCTGTCGTTTCGCTTTTTGTCATGATCGTACTGCAGAAGTCTTCACTGTTTTCGTTGTGCTTTCATCATCAGCAGCGAGTGTAACGTTTTGCTTGTGAGCAGCGACCATTACTGGTGATTGTTGTTTGCCATGGCTCTACCTCTCACTGCGTGACAAAACGTTCTGTCAGCGATAGTTGGTTGATGCGAAGACGAGTGTCACGTGAGTGTCATGATATTTTGCATCACTGGTCAATAGGTAGGGTCCAGGTGTGGGAGGTACGGAAAAGAAGGCCGACGAAAAAAAATCAAGGAAAAAATGTCTTATTTTATAATTACGTCTCATTCCACTGCGTCCTAGCAAGAAGTACGGTCAACTTAGTTCGCGCTCCGCTATTTTGGAAGTTTTCTCGCTATTCGCTTGATTTAAATTGTCAGTTTTTTTCTCGCTTAGAGTTCCCAGCTAAATAATTAACTAAAAGTGAGTTTTTTTCTGAGAAGAAAGTGTGTTTTCGGCATCATCGGAAGGAAAATTGTTTTTACGATTGCCAATTCGCCAACCATTTTGCGCACCATCGGTGCGTGGTAACGCATACCTGCACACGGATCATCGTCATCGAGAGTCAGCATCTGCCTCCGCATTCACACCGCTCATCTATCATCGTGTGTTCAGCTGAGTGCCGACCCTCACATAAGCACACACCAACGAAGACCGCCCGCACACGCTGATCGAAGATCATCCACGCTGCGTGTCGCTCCGCTGCTGCCGTTTAAACTCTCGGTGATAGTAGTATAGGATTATCAGATAAGTTTTTGTTCTTGTTTCTCTCTTTCGCCCACAGTTAAATTTTAAGTTTGTGTTCTGTGTTTGTATTTTTTTTGTGTATTGTGTCCGAGTGATTATCGTTTCAGTGGTAGAGCGTTTTTCGCTCCCACTAGTACGGCAAAATGGACATTTTGTCGCAAGACGAAATGGACGTTTTGTCGGAAGATGACACCACTTTGCCACGCGATGGCAAGAAGGGTCGAAAACGTACGTCATCTCTCCCTGGTTCATCGTCTCAGTCTGGCAAAGGACAGGCTCAGATAAACCCCCGATCGCGAGCCTATCCAGATGACTCGACTGGCCCATGGGTTGTCTACTTTCAGCCCAGAAACAAACCTTTGAATGTAATGCAAATTACTAATGATCTGACGAAGCGATACTCGGCCGTGACTGAAATCACGAAGGTTAGGCACAATAAACTTCGTGTCTCCGTCTCTAACCTGAAGCAGGCTAACGAGATTGCTGCCTCCCAGCTCTTCACGCTCGAGTACAGAGTTTACATCCCAGCTCGTGATGTGGAGATCGAAGGTGTGGTCACCGAAGCGAGTCTGACCCCCGAGATCTTGGAGAAGCAGGCGGTTGGCCGTTTCAAGAACCGTTTGCTTCCTCCGGTGAAGATACTGGATGTCCAAAAACTGGGATCAGTATCTGTCAGCGAGGGTAAAAAGAGTTTTACCCCCACAGACTCGTTCCGTGTGACCTTTTCTGGTTCAGCCCTTCCTCACTACATCGAGCTGGGAAAACTTCGACTACCTGTGCGTTTGTTCGTTCCCCGGGTCATGAACTGCCAAAACTGTAAGCAGTTGGGCCATACGGCCTCCCACTGTGGCAGCAAGGCACGCTGTTCCAAATGCGGAGAGAAGCATGGGGATGACACCTGTGCAGCTACCGCACCAAAATGCGTGTACTGTAAGGGAACTCCTCATGGTATCTCGTCATGCCCGGTGTACAAACAACGCGGGGAGAAATTACAACGCTCACTTAAGGAACGTTCCCGGCAGTCTTTTGCAGAAATGCTTAAGACGGCCACGCCATCGACCAACGACAAAAATCCCTTTTCTCTTTTGTCAGATGACGAGACTGACTCTGACTTGGCTGAGGAGGGAACTTCTTTCTGTTTTTCAGCACGGAAACGAAAACGCATCCGTTCGCGGAAAGCTGAGAATGAAGAACCCCAAATCAGCTTGCCCAAATCAAGGAGTGGTGGAAAAAAGGAAGTTTCTACTCCTCCTGGATTCAGAAGAACTGACTATACCCAGGATTTTCCACCTCTCCCGGGGACATCCAAAACCCCTGATGTCCCATTTTTAAGAACAGAAGCCCCTTCTTCATCTGGGTTGTTCTCATTTGATAAAATTGTGGACGATATTCTCAAGTACCTGAATATTTCTGATCCTCTCAAAAGCATTGTTCTGGCAATGCTTCCTACTGTGAAGACCCTCTTGAAGCAATTGACATTGAAGTGGCCCCTCATTGCAGCAATCATTTCCTTCGATGGATAATTTTCCAAACGAGGTCGGGGATTTGATCACTATTCTACAGTGGAATTGTCGAAGTCTTATTCCTAAATTAGACTCTTTTAAGTTTTTAGTTCACAATAATGATTGTGATGCATTTGCTCTTTGTGAAACTTGGCTCTCTTCAGATATAGATCTTCCTTTTTATGATTTTAACATTATTCGACTGGATCGTGAGGATTCGCGTGGAGG